TTCTCCAGGTGTGCTATATCTTTACTTTAGTTTTAATCTCTTAAGCATTAGAAGTAACTTTTATTATAATTCTAATAAGCCATATTCAGGCTTCACATATACTGAAAGATCTATTCTCAATACTCAATAGACTTCTGAGTCTGAGTCCTTATTCTCAAAACACTGGAGTAGCATTCTCATGAGAACACAATCATGTTGTGTCTTTTTGCTGATATTTATATTTGCATAACAATGACAAAGACATAGAGCAATGGTTCCTATGAGATCGTAATCCCCCCAGTTTTGAGAATGGATGTCCTGGCATGCTCTCATTACTTGTCTTATTTTAGATCCTCAGGATACATCTTCGATCTTTCTGTCTGTTGTCAGTTTCTCCAGAAATCGAGATCATTCAAACTTACTCTATATTAAAAATAGCCTCACTGCGAGAAATTTTGATGGCGTGCGGTGAATTTTGGCTTCTCCTTATTACTACCCTAGAAAATGTTGCTATTACAGTATAAATCAAAATATTTTGACTTCTTTATTGTAATTCGCAGTCAATTCCACTAATATCGATTCGTAATTATTGATTGTAAATAAATTCAATCGAAAGAGTGTTCACTTATAAGTGCAACGGACATTACTTTACCAACGGTCCGGTTACATTGTTTACAAGCACGTTACGTCTGAAATGTCTCGTTTGCTATTTTCAGATTTATTTCAGCTTTAATATATCGAGTTGTGCGTCGTGTTGTGCACAGCCGGAAGGCGTACTTAGCCAAATAAATTTTAGAGCCTTCCTGTTTCCTTGTCAGCATCTTGTGTACTCGAGACGGTTTACTGAATAATTTTAGCTTACTGTTGTTAATTGTACGATATTTTTTTGGGTTACAAATTTCTAGGTAGGTAGGTATATAGATTTATATTGTCAAAGATAACAGCTAATGCAGGGAATAATTAATAGCTTTGAAAGGAGGCTGGCATCTACTTAACTATGTCACTAACAAGACGGGCATTTTTTTTTGTAATTAGCACTGAAGCAAGATTTTGCAAGCCACTTAATTATTTCTGTTTGTTATTGTTAAATGCAATTCAGAATTCTGTTAAAAAATGTTTAGCTAACAGTAACTTACCGTGTAAAGTTAACAAACTAGGTTTAGTCTTCAGACGGATATCTGACTAAAATGAATCTGTCAGGAATCATTCCGGCACATTCGTGTTTCCATAGATCTGTTGATTGATGTTAACAAGGTTCCAGCTAAGAATATGATTTTGAAGCAATAATCATGAAACATCTCCATTCCTTGCCATATTCTAAAGATCTGACGAATTATGGAGAAATAAGCAATAATTTCGCTCTGGTTGACGGTACCTATCTGTTGGGTCGGTAATTTGTGAAATGGGCTCTGTGAAGTAGGCAAGCACAATTGAAGCACAAAAGTTAAATTTTACTTAATCGTTTAGCGCTTCGTTATTGCTTCAATGTGCTTCAATCCCCAAATTAGCAACTCTTGTATTTTCGGTTTTTTGAAATCGCCTGCTTACTTTACACTCAGCAGAAAAAAGAGAAGCACCAACGTTTAGTTACAGATAAATGGTTAGTGCTTTAGTGTGTGCTTCAATCCTCAAATTAGCAACCATCAAATTCTCAGAGATATTTCGGATTCTGGAAATTGCCTGCCTGATTACTTCACACCCAGCAGGAAAAAGGAAAGCACCAACGTTCAGTTACAGATAAATGGTTAGTACTTCGTTAGTGCTTCAATTTGATTCAATCCCCAATTTGGTAACCCTTGAATTTTCAGAAATATTCTGGTTTTTAGAAACCGCCTGCTAAGTTCACAGCAGGAACATTGGAAGCACCAACGTTTAGTTGTAGATAGATGGTTAGTGCTTCAATGTACTTTGATCCGCACATGAGCAACCCCTATATTTTCACAGAAAATCCAGTTTTTAGAAATCGCCTGCTCACTTCATACCCAGCAGGAACAAGGAAAGCACCAACGTTCAGTTACAGATTAATGGTTAGTGCTTCAATCCCCAAATTAGTAACCCTTAAATTTTCAGGGATATTTCGGATTCTAGAAATTGCCTGCCTGATTACTTCACACCCAGCAGGAACAAGGAAAGCACCAATTTTCAGTTATAAATAAATGGTTAGTGCTTTAATTTGCTTCAATCCTCAATTTAGCAACCCTTGAATTTTCAGACATATTCTGGTTTTTAGAAATCGCCTGCTTAGTTTACACATAGCAGGAACATTGGAAGCACCAACTTTTAGTTGTAGATAGATGGTTAGTGTTTCGTTAGTGCTTTAATGTACTTCGATCCGCAAATAAGCAACCCTTATATTTTCAGAGATATTTCAGTTTTTAGAAATCGCCTGCTCATTTCACACCCAGTAGGAACAAGGAAAGCACCAACGTTCAGTTACAGATAAATTGTTAGTACTTCAATGTGTTTGAATTCTTGAATAAGCAACCCCTATATTTTCAGAGATATTTCGTTTTTCAGAAATTGCCTGCTTACCTACTTCAGACCCAGCAGGAGTATAGAAAGCACCAACGTTCAGTTGTAGATGAATGATTAATGCTCCGTTAGTGCTTCATGATGCACTACCTCAGGTTTTAAAGACTCTATACTTCCCGAGATATTTCGACTTTTTGCAATCGCCTGCGGATTTCACCCTACCAGGGTGAAATCCGCATGATTATTAGGTACTTATTGCTTCCCAATGCTTAGGCCGGTTCACTCATCTTCCGATAAAAGTACTGGTAACCATCTACAAGACAAATTTCCCAATCGATAATCTTATTGGTCGACGTATAACTGGCCGACCAATACGATTATAGATTGCGTTTTTTATCTGTCAGATAATATACCTGATGGTTTATCAGTATGTAAACAAACCGGGCCTTAGTTTCTCTTTTGACCATCCGTTAGGTATATTCAACTCCTCACAAATGTTATAGATCAGTACTAGCATGTCTTTACTCTCCGCATCTTCTCAATTTGAAGATTTACAGATTTACCAACATTTCCAAATTTTGGAATCATTTTTCGTGTATCTTCTGGATCGATTCAAATTCTAAGACAAATGACGTCACTTTCTGCTCTTTGAAATAGTGATATTCAGGAAAAAATCGTTTATTTTTGAGAATAAATGTGTAACTATCAATAAAACAGTCAGCCATGTTGCAGATATTCTGAATACAATTGAATATAGTAGAGCTCTTTGACATAGTAGTTTTCTTGAAGCTAGTTGTTCTGTAGAGCAGATAGCACTTGAGAAGCATTGAATTAGTGTATCAAAGGGACATGTGTTTTGAATCTGAACTTTTTCTCCATCTATTTATATTCTACGCTTTGGGAATTTGGTGGATGTTTCCAATGTTCCTGCTATGTGTGAACTAAGTAGGCAATTTCTAAAAACCGGAACATCTCTGGAAATTCAAAAGTTGCTAATTTGGGGATTGAAGCACTAATCGTTTATCTGTAACTGAACGTTGGTACTTCCCTTGTTTCTGCTGGGTGTGTGGTAAGCAGGCGATTTAAAAAAATCTAATATCTCTGAAAATACAAGGGTTGCTAAATTGGGGATTGGAGCACATTGAAGCACTAACGGAGCACCAACCATTTATCGGTAACTGAACGTTGGTGCTTCCCTTATTCATGCTGGGTGTGAAGTAAGCAGGCGATTTCAAAAATCCGAAAATACAAGGGTTGTTGATTTGGGGATTGAAGCACTAACGAAGCGCTAAACGATTACGTAAAATTTAACTTTTGTGCGTTAAGTGTTCCTGCCTACTTCACTGAACCAGCGAAATGGATGCAAACCATTTTCAATCATTCTTTTTTGACAACATCTTGGGCAGACTTATCAAAACGTTTTATAAACATGAATTCTGTGTTGTTTTCAAATTTTCAATTTTGTCAATGTTTTCTATAAAAGTTCTAGATTAGTTTGGCTTTGGAGTGAGGAAAAAAATGCCATACCAAAAGAATTGATTGAAAGAGAATTTACAATAGAGGAATTAGATCACAGAAATTATAACAAGTATATTCCTAACCAGCGTCTGTTCTCCATGTTAGGAGCGGCTGAATAAACACTCGTCAACCCGCATGGCAAGCGTGGCGTTTTAATTGCCATATTCCCTTCAAAACTTTCCTCGAATATCCCCGGCCAAGGTAGCGGACAGACTAGGAATCGAGCCAGAGGGGTGCTAAGAATCCCCAGGTCGCGACAGGCTGCCAACATATAATGAACATTGCGACGTACAACACACGGACAATGAGAACAGATGAAAAATTTTCAGAGATGGAACTGGAGTTGGAAAACATAAAATGGGATATACTGGGCATCAGCGAGACGAGGATGAAAGGGGAGAAGTGTACCGTGGTTCCACACTATACCAGAGAAACTCTAAGGTAGACTCACAAGGTGGAGTGGCTATACTGATCTCACCTAAACTTCGGGAAAATATTACGGAACTCAAATCCATATCCGATCGAGTAATCTTTGCCGTCCTAAAATTAAATCGAAAATACTCATTAAAACTTATTCAGGTACACGCACCAACTGCATCATCCGATAAAGAGAAAATTGATAGCTTCTATGAAGACATAACGAGAGCCTTGAGTATATCAAAAACACATTTCTCTTTTATAATCAGCGACTATAATGCAAAAATAGGCAAATATGAAAAAGACGATGTACCACACATAGGAAGATATGGCCTAGGACAGAGAAATGAAAGAGGCGAGAGACTTCTAAACTTCCTCAAAAAACCACCACAAAGGAAATGGATTTGGGCTAGCCCCGATGGATCTACAAGGAATGAGATTGACTATATCCTGTAATAAAAAATGCATTGTCGAGGATGTGTCGGTCATATTCTCTATAGGCAGCGACCATAGATTAGTTAGAGCTAGAGTTAAAATTAATACAAAACTAGAAAGATTTAAACTCATCCACGCTGAAAGTCAACATCTAAACCTCACCCTCCAAATATCTTCAGTTATCAACTAGATCTAGACAGAAGATTATCAAGCACACAAAACACAGAACAACTCTCACTCGATGACCTGGTACAGCACATGACATCCCAGATTATGAACAGTACCAGGAGAACCATAACAAAATTGAAAACCACCAGAAACCCTAAAATATCCCCAAAAACACAACAGCTAATGACCGAGAGACGTAAACTAGAGAGAAGCACACCACAATATAGAGAAATTAATAAAACAGTTAATAAGGCCATCCGTAAGGACACCAGCAGGATTCATAGCACAAATATGATGAAAGAATGTATAGCACAAAATTCCAACATGAAAGTCCTTAGGAAGAACAGAGCCAAAAACAGGACTAAAATTTACCAACTTATGGATTCTGAGGGTAACCTTGTATCAACAACAGAATCAATGCTGAAAATAGTCGAACAATTCTACACAACACTGTACAGAAAACCAACAATCAATCAACCCTCTAGACCTCCAGTCAATCTTGGTTCTGAGGAAATTCCCGAAGTAGACATCGACGAAATAAAGAATGCATTGTCTCAAATGAAAACCAACAAGACACCTGGAGAGGATAGATTGACAACGGAAATGTTTAAATATGGCGGAGAACCTATACTGAATAGAATAAAGGAAATCTTTAATGGGTGCATTGCTGAACACAGAATACCACAGTTATGGCAAAACGCAACAATTACACTCGTCCATGAAAAGGGAGATAACACAAAACTTGAAAATTATCGTCCCATCAGTCTTTTATCCCACTTCTATAAATTATTCTCGAAAGTGCTTACAAACCGCCTAACAAACAAGTTTGATTTCTATCAACCCCTAGAGCAGGCAGGATTCAGAAGTGGATAGAGTACTGTAGACCACCTTCAGGCGATCCGCACACTCATAGAGAAAAGCATCGAATACAACATCCCTATATACATAGCCTTCATAGATTATGAGAAGGCTTTCGACTCTATAGAGCTACACGCCATTCTAGAAGCTTTAAACAATGCCAAAATAGACCATAGATACTCTGGCATAATATCGTTTATCTACAAAACAGCTACGATGACTGCCAAACTAGATGAAATAACAACGACGACAAAAATCAAAATGGAGAGAGGAGTCAGACAGGGAGATACTATTTCCCCAAAACTTTTTACACTGGCGCTAGAAGACGTCTTTAAGACGTTGGATTGGAAAGAGAAAGGTATTAGAGTGGACGGTAGAATGCACAACCATTTGCGCTTCGCGGATGATGTTGTTATTATCCTTGCCCAATCATCGGAGAAACTCCAAATAATGCTCGAACAACTCCAGCACGCATCTGCAAGGGTAGGCCTCCGAATGAATTTGTCCAAGCCTAAAATTCTAAGTGAAAACGAAGAACTGATTACGGTCAATCAGCAAAGAATCGAAAACGTCAAACAGTATGTATATCTGGGTCATGCCATAAGACTCGGTAAAAATAACCAAACAACTGAAATTTCGAGAAGGATTAAACTTGGATGGGCAGCTTTTGGTAGACTCAACTATATATTCAAGAGCAAACTTCCCAACAATCTAAAAAGAGACGTTTTCGATAAATGCGTTTTACCGGTAATGACGTACAGCTTGGAGACTATGACGGTGACCGTATGAAGTGCCAACATACTACGGGTTACTCAGAGAGCAATGGAAAGAGCCATGATGGGCATCAGCCTTCACGACCACATTAGGAATGAGGACATCCGTCGACAAACGAAGGTGACTGACATCGTCGAGAAAATATCCAGTTCTAAATGGTTTTGGGCAGGACACTTGGCCAGACAATCAGAAGAGAGATGGGCTGGAGACCACGCCTAACAGAATGTTCAGTGGGTCGACCTCCTAAAAGGTGGACCGATGACATACGAACCATAGCTGGTGAAAATTGGATAAAGAAAGCACAAAACCGAAACGATTGGAAGGTATTGAAAGAGGCTTACAGCTTGCAGTGGATGGATAACAGCTGAAGAAGAAGAAGATATTCCTAATTAATTTATAAACGAGCATTTTTTATTTACATGTTTTGGCTTGTCGTTATAACGTTACACATTGCTGTATCCAACATGATTAACAGATTTTCCCATTACGTACTGCACTTGTACATTTATAATTATTATTGGTAAGCGGAAGAAACACGAAAAACTCATCAACGAAGACAAGCTAATGCCCTAAGCATTATTTAACATTTTACATCATTACATCTCATAGCAAGTCATTCTACTAATGTTTCAATGGCTTAATTTCAAATATATTGAATGTAGGTACAATGCAGTTACTATTGCAATATGCGGAAATAATTTACAAGAAGAAGAATTATACCTACTTTATTAATATATTAAAACACTACCTTCATTTGGTCCTCGAACCAAAGTACTTAACATATAATATTTCACACAAAATATCAAATTCCTGAAATGTAAATCGACACCCATTTGCGTAAAACAAATCGAGTTTCTCAGCAGTGTCGTATTGTTCCATTCCAAGTTATTTACGATCGATTCTTGTATTGCATTTAATATAATCCAATGGTGTCAAACCTAAATGCATCGCCCAGTATAATTTTAATTTATGATGTTCAAATTGTTAGTTGTCAAAATTACGATCGATTTGTATGGCTCATTGTATTCTCGGGTGAAAGTGCGGATGTTCAATACTAAGCTAAAGACAATTTTTTTTTCTCTTGAGAAATAAAGGTTAACTATAGAGGCGCATTTCAGAACTCATAAATATGTCTGAATTTAATTAGTTTTAATGCAAGCACCTAGCTATTATTGTTTCTAGTTAATATCTTTTCAATATCTAGGCACATTATAAAATATGGGAAAAGTTTTTAAGATAAATAACTATCAATGAAAGATGGATTAAGTGCATTAAGATAATATATCCGTCTGACATACATTGTTTCCAATAATGCTTGTTAAGTGATGTGAAAAATGAAGGTGAAAATTGATATATGAATTAGCACCATTATCTTTTCTATGGTTTTAATGTAATTAGTTTTTAGTTACGAGATGAATAATGTGTTGTTTAGTTTATAGGGAAAGCATTTTAAATTGTATGGCGATATTGTAGGTACGACTAAAATTCCATTGGAAAAATCAGGTCCGTTAACACTTTCGCTAAGAATTTATTTTCAATATGGAGCTTCATAAGCCTATAGTTTCTCATAAGAAGCCAAAAGCCAAATGTTATAACTATAATTTTGTGGAGTTTATAGAAATCTCTAGCTCATTCAATTTCAAATTGGTAATTTTTTATAATCTGTAATTGAACTCGGCTTGAAAATAAACTGATTATACTCTTGTATCAAACCAAAGAACCAACTTGTGAGAAATCACTTTGAAAAATGGTTAAAGCTCCACGCCTTGATTTTAGAGCATCCATCAAAATCTTATGCTATACCTCCACTATTTTAACAAATGCAATTTTTTTTTATCACGCCTTAACATGTCTTATAGTCTTATGGTGTTGCAGTTTTCTTATCTATGCCCATTCGTTGATGTACTTCCTTATTGGTTAACTCTATCCACCCACTTAATAACAATGTTTCGCTATTTATTTTGCACCTCATAATGATCTTGGCTTTCTCGCTTTAGTTGAAACTGTTTTTTTTTAAAGCTAATAATTTATATCTTTGGATTGTTACAAGTTCCAATAGATTTACTTTGAAGGAGCATAATAAACAATAAGGAAGTGTCTATATAGTTATTTAGCAAATCTGCGAATTTCAATTAAACCTACCAATGCGATAAGGATTTCAAGGTATAGTGATTCTTGACACACTGGGCTTCTGATTAATCACTGACTTCTTACTCTTTGTGGCCGTTTTATAGCGCGTCGTTTCTTCTAGAATTGTCTAAATATAGTGAAGAAAGATTGCGCACAATTCCTCCATAACTTGAAAGATTTATTATGAAAAGCAGGCTTCGTTGTATACAATATGCTGACTACTGGAAAAATTCAAATGCAAAATAGTTCTTCAACCAATCAATACAATTATATTATAATACAAAATACATTGATGATGACGTAATATGTAGAAAGAGGATTATCAGACCAGCAAGAAACAGCCGTAAAGATTTTATCCCTTAGTTGAAGTTCAAAAACCCATTTTGTAAGTATCTAAAGTAACCTCTACATCCACTTGAATCACCTCAAGATTGGGTAAAGATTTAACTAAAAGCCAAAAATATTTTTCCACTTAAAGCTGACCATTATTTCAAGTTTGACACACCAGCCTGTTGAGGAATTTTTTAAGATAATAAAAAATTTCGAGTAGTTATAAATGGATTGATGATATTCTCATAATTGTCCACGACACAATTTTTAAAAAGTATTATGAACATGTGAATTAGATTTCGGTCCTATCAAACTTCTTCCTTCAAATCCTCACAAATTTTACTTTGTCCAGTCTGAAGTTTATTGATTTATTTATTTATTTATTCATATACGGGATGATCCCATTAACTGTTGAATCATACAATACATATTGGTTAGGTACCTACAATTTTTTTTAAAATTAATAATCTAAAAATGCACATCAAGTCTAAATCCAAATATGACATAATAAACAGAGGAAAAATCAACTTAATTGATAAGCAATGACTTTCTAAACTGACTAAGTGATGTGTTAAATATATCTATATCTAATTTATTAACAGCATTTATATAGGTACCTATTCAAATGACCATTATTTCCATAAGTGGTTCTATGGTAAGGAACATTGAAGGCACATTGGTATCGTAGACCCTGATAATATGGCACTCTAAGCTGGATCTGACTTAAGAGAACAGGACAATCTATTAGACCATTGATAATCTTAAAAAAAAAGGAGTTAACATCAGCTGTTGTTCTATGTCACTGTAATCATGATCCATTAATGGGAATGCCACTTTTGAATGCACAAACTCTCAGGAACCTATGTTGCACTCGCTCTAATGTTTGGGAATGAATTTCGACAAATGGTAACCAAACAACCAAAAAATATTCCAATATTAACCGGACCAAAGAGCAGTAGGCCATTTTTGTAGCATCAGGAGAACAGTATTTGCAATTTCTCATCATAAAGCCCAACATTTTAGCACCCTTAACAGAAACACCATTGATGTGTTCCACAAATGTCAACTTTTCATCAAATATATGACACCTAAGTCCCTAACAGATGTAACACATTCTAATGACTGATCATTGATATGATAGACTCATGGAAATCTTTCAGCTTTGCGGATAAAACTTATAAAGTGGCATTTGGGGACATTAAAAATAATTTATTTCTTGCACACCAATCTGAAAGGCGGTCTAGGTCTGCTTGCAGAAGTTTCTGGTCACCAATACTTTCAACGATTCTCCACAGTTTG